TATACTACAGTACTGAAAAGTAACTTTAACTCAAAATAACTTAGATTACCTAACAAGTCATTTTTACCTTCCAATGCCAAAAACATATTCTTAATAAAAGATAACAAGATGACTACCGAATCAAGTTAACAATGGAATCAAGAGGGTTTTTTTGTTCTTTTAAACTAGATGATTACTGACTTAAAGGGCAAGCACTTCTCTTTCTGAAGACAATTCATGCTTCAATTACAAGTTGGAATTACACTCTGGTACCACCCCAATGTCACTTTAGTTGAAGAAGAACTCGAAGATAAATCTACAAAAGCAAGGAATATTTTCATAATAGGAATGACAATGCAGTCATTTTATAATGTTTGCTCAACTATGTTTTATGTCCAGGGCTTTCTGCTAACGAAAAGATGTTACATAAAGCACTTATTCTCTGTCTCACACTTCTCTTCTTGATGCATTTCTCCCTTGTTTTCAACTGCTCTTTCAAGTACTTTCATTCTAATATCTAAGATCCCTTCAACACTTACTTTTACCATATATTTCTATAAGTTAAGGCTGTTTTAAAGACCTAGTGGCTATTGTCTGTCTATTATCAATATGGTTAAACCACAGTGCCCATTTGGCTTAATAATGTACCAGGTCAAGCAGAGGTTGACAGTTCATGATCAAAGCAAGCTGGCTTTCCTTTCAGTCACTTATACAGAACACACAAGATGTGTTTATTTTCACCAGCCTCCGAATGACCTCTTTTAGGTGGCATGGAAAAGATCCCACATTTCTATAAAGCACTATACCAAAGGACTTTTTTTATTTGATACTCTCATTAGAGGCAAATTTTATTTTTGTGAGACTTTTGATCTTTTCATTTACCCAAGAACCCTTGAAAGTTAAAGACCATATTGCCTGCATCAAATTGGCATAATGAACAAAACAAGGACAGGGCAACTGACAAATCCTGAAGAGGAAACAGTATGCATCCAATAGGTTGACGTTACATAGTATGGGGCTCATTAGCGATTAACTCAAAATGAGTGAAGGCAACAGCATCTAAGATTTCAAAAGGCGGCCAGTAAAAAGCATTTTTAACTCTGCTTTTGCTATTTAAACTCCTACACTTCTATTAACCTGAACATCAGTAACACAAACACTGTAAAACCTTCATAATCACAGCAGTTAGTAGAGAGCCACTACAAACTATAACCAATACAGCCTACAGAATAGTCCCCAAAATAGGTATTTTCATATTGGGTAGTTAGAATGATTTATAAGCAGCACTAGTTTATAAAAAGATTTTTCCCAAATAATCTTAAGTAATTATTCTCTTTGTTCAGGATTAAATTGGACTTCTGGTGTGTCAATGGATGGCAAATCATAGGACCAGTGGCTCAAACCCATGAGCTGCTCCTAGGAAACCCTATACACGGTCTCTATAAGTCAGAACAGACTGGACAGCACTTAACAACAATGACGAGGTTAAAATATATACCCCACAATATTGTTTGTGCTATGAAGTTGTAGAAGTGGTATGTTTTACCATCACTATAAATTCATAGATCTTAATAAGATTGTATTAATCATATGAAAGGGAGTAAATCTCTCAGAGATATCTTTCCTTACTCTTGTTGCCTAGTGGCACAAGAGAAATAAAATAAAGTGATGAGTTGTTGTTATTAAGTTCTATTTAGTCATTTCTAACTCATAGTGACTCTGTATAGGGTTTCTAAGGAGCAGCTGGTGGGTTTGAACCTCCGACCTTCTGATTCACAATCCAGGGCTGATCTTACAGTGCCAAGTCAAACAACTGATCCGTTTGAACCATTGATCCTTGCAGTTCAAACCACCCTTGCAGTCCAGTGCTTAACCTATAGCGCCACACCAGGACTCTGAGCACATGACAGGCTTCTCACAAAACCAAAAATGTTCTCTGAAAATAAAAGCAGCTGGTAAACTTCATTCTCTTAATTATCTCAGCTTAATTCTTCCTTCTGCTCCTAACCCACCGCCATCAATTCAGTTGCGACTCTCGGCGACCCTATATAAACATGGCCCTAACTCCCCTGTTCATTCTGTATGAACAATGCCACCACCATTTTTTCCTCCCCTCCAGCCATAGTTCAGATGATAACTCTTCTCTGCGCCTATAATTTCTCAGAAAAAGATGTCATCACGTTCAATGATAATCTCTATGCCAACAATATGGAATCTCTATCTCTTGTGTTGAACTCTGTGAAAATCTGGTTCCGTTCTCCAACCTGACATCTTCTCTGGCAAGCATGATAATAAAATGGCTAGACGTATTCATTCAAGTCAAGCTGACAAGGTTAAGATCCCACCTCCACATCTCAGAAAACTTTCTTAACATCTCACTGCCCTAGCTGCTTCATTTGTAAAATAGAAAAGAAAAATGAACTCTTCAACTCACCAAAGGGCTCCAAGAATTAAACTGGATAGTATCCAATGTATGTAAAGCATTTAGAACAGTGCCTGGCACATGGGAAACACTCAGTAAAATGCCAATCATATTAATTGTTTTCTTGAAAGCTTTAGCTATAACTTCAAGTACAGCATGTTCAAGGCCCAAAGAAAAATCTTTCTCTTAAAATGAATTACCCTTCTGGAATTCCCTATTTTTTCCAACGAGGGACCTGGATCAATAAAGTTAAAGTGTAAAGACTTCTTCTCAAACCCAGATATTCCTTCCAATTCTGTATGCCTTCACTTGAGATGAGGGCATCGATACCTGGACTATAGTCACTGTTCTAACCAGACTCCTAATCTGTAGTTTTCCTTATTCCCAACCCTCTTTCACACTGCTGTGGAATTGATCCTCTGAGATCAAGACAGCAAACACAGGAAACAAAAATTTAAACAGAAATATATAGTAGCATACCAAGACCCAAAGGCAAGCCCATCGCCATGGGGCCAACTCAAACGCATAATGACACTGTAGACAGTGTAGAACTATCCCTCTGGGTTTCCACAGAAGCAGGTTGCCACATCTTTCTCCTGCAGAACAAGGGGGGAACAGGTGGGAAGGGGTTCAAACCACCATCTTTTGGTTAGCATCCATTGTGCCACCAGGGCCTTAAGACATGCCACAATATGGAGCGAGAGCGTGTAAGTAAGTCAATCATAAACAAACAAATAGTACCTGGCCTCACTTATATGAAGACACGAAATGAAAATGAATGGACCATGTCCAAAGTTTATTAGTCACTTCCAGGAGCAGGAGAAAGGGACAGGGCAAGGCTATTGCTTACAAAGTACAGAGCTTCAGTTTACAGCAATCGAAAATGTACCCTGGTAGAGCTGCACAGCCAATTAATGTTAATTGTTACCAGTAAGTCGAAGTTCTGGTGTGGCGCTGTGGGTTAATGCCCTAGACTGCAGAGTTAGTTTGAACCACAATGTTAGCGGTTCAAGCCCACCACCTGCTCTCCGGAAATCCTAAACAGGGACGCTATGGGTTGGAATGGACTCAATGGGACCTAACAACAATCAATAAACTAAATATCTATAATAAGTTGAGTTGACTAAAGTTGGGTAATAGGTACATTTACAACAATATTTTTTTTAAGTAACTCATGGGATTTGGGTCCTTGGTTTGGACCTTTAGAGGTCATAGTTTCATGGGACATTCCAGTTAATTGGCCAAATAATGTGTTTAAGCTTCTGTGCTACCTCCTAGTTCACTACATAGTTCCAGGGATCTTAAAAGTTTTCAAGTATCAATCTGAGATGCAACAATTGGTCTCTATTTGCTCGGAACAGCAGAGGAAGAAGGAAAGTCAGGAGGAGGCTATGGGATGTGTAGGTAATGCCTCCAAGAACAACTGCCTCCTTTGCCATGAGAGCGGAAGAAATGGATGGTGCCTATGTACCATTACTGAACAGTTTGATCAAAGATTCTATAGAAGAATTCTGACCAAAATAAGAAAAATGCAGAACAGAATCTCAAGTTTTCATGGAATCTAGATGTTCTGGAGCCACAGTAGCTGATTGAACCCTAGAAACTATTACCATAAAATAATCTTTAAGCCTTACACCAAAATATTCCTGAATTATCTTTCAAACCAAACCATAGTTTAGCTTAACAAATAAAAAACACCTTATGCATTGTACTCTTTTAAGATCTACCTAGGTGGGATCAAACTGACAAAAACAACTTCAAAGACCAGATAACAAAACTTAAGAGGGCAGTGAGGATTTATACCAGAACTTCAAGCAGGTTTATTCTAGTATGATCCCCTGCTTCTGGTATGATCATTTCCACCCTGATATAATGAATCAGAATCTACATTTTTAACAAGATCCCCTAAGATCTTGTTTAAAAAATGTAGATTCTGAACATCTATACAAAAATGCAGATTCTGATTCATTATATTGGGGGTGGAAATGAAAATTCTCAACAGGTGGTCTAAGTAGAAAGAACCAATCCAAAGGAACTCATCAAAGGAGGGTAAGAATGGCTGCACAACTTTGAAGAATGCAAGTAATGTGACTGAACTGTACATGTAGAAACTGTCAAATTGCTGTACATTTTACTGTGTACATGCTCAACAACAAAATAGTTACATTTTTACTTTAAATATAAAATACTGTACAGGTAAACAAAGAAAAAATAAATAATTTTTTAAAACAATAAATAAGAGTGGAACAATTCAGTAGTTACATGATTGGGGGAGGGATCTAAATAAAAAATGCACAGGAATCCTTAGAAAGACTTAAAGAAAACCTAGTATCTTAGCTGTGGATTAGAAAACTTAAATATTCAAATCACTTATTTGCCAATTTCATAAATACTCATCTCACCTATTTTAAAAGCCCCCATTGAATCTTTATCTGGTCATTTCAAAAGAGTATAACAATAAAAGTCAGTTGTATTTTTTTTCGGACATATATTAAAGATTTAGGTTGACATTAGGAATCTTGTAAAAGTTAATTATCTGATATTAATTCTTATTTCACTTATAAAAACTAGAGAAAACAAATCAACAAGTTCCACTTACTTAATTGAGTTCCTAAAGTGGTCTTCAGCTGGGTTTTTGACAGTGCAGCTATTCAGAAGCCATAAATCTGCGTCTAATGCATTTTCTATATAAAATAAAAAAGAGAGAAAGAGAAATAAGTATTACAGCTTATTATTCCAAAATATCCAAGTACTTAGTCATGTGGCATTAGGATTTGAATAACTGCTACAGGGGTAGAGTCCTGGTGCGGCGCTGTAGGAGAAAAAGAGGAAGACCCCCAACAAGATGGAATGGCACAGTGGCAGCAGCAACGGGACCCCACGTAGCAAAGACTGTGAGGTTGGCAAGGTCTGGGCAGTGTTACGTTCTGTTTTGCATGAAGTCGCTGAGTCGGTACCAGCTTGATGGCACTTAACAACAACAACAGCAGGGGTTGGAGTTGAGGGGAAGTGGCGGATAGAGTGAGCAGAATCAAGCAGGCAATTACAGTATAGTGAGTAACTGATAAAACACAGGAAATACACTTAATGTAAAAATGTCTAGCCTACGCTATCTGTATCTGTTTTATTTAAAATATTAAAAAGAAGAAGTATTTTCTTTCTTTTTCATATGAAAGTACTACTTAATAACTTTCAGAACCCTAACTGGGACCAGCCTAATCTTACCTCTAAATAGGAAATGAATTGCCCCTTTTTAGATTACAGTTAATATTTTTAGACGTCTGATGAAACATTGTGACATACTTATTTGCAATGATGCACATCATAGTAGTTACGAATCAGGCTGCGAACCGCAAGGTCAGCAGTTTGAAACTACCAGCTGCTCCGCGGGAGAAAGATAAGGCTTTCTGCTCCCGTAAAGATTTACAGCCTCGGAAACCCTGTACAGGGTCGTATGGGTCGGAACCAACTCCACAGCACACAACAACAACAACAGACTCCTGATGTGGCACTGAGGGATAAAGCACTGGACTACAATTTGGTTTGAACTGCAGGGTCAGCGGTTCAAACTCACCAGCTGCTCCTCACTATGAGTTAGAACCGACTCAACATTTAACAAGATGGAGACATCAGTTCCATGTTTCTCCCCTGGGACATTTACACATTATTTCAACAACATCATAGTTATTGGAGTTCTGGTGTAGCGTTATAGAATATAACACTGGACCGCAAGGTTGGTTTGAACTGCAAGAACAACAACAACATCTCATAGTTATTACAATTAATGTATAAATGACAAAACATGCTTGATGCTAAAACAACTTTGTTGGTGGTGTTAAGTGCCATTAAGATAGTTTTAACACACAGAGACCTGTTTCCGAAGAGCAGCTGGTGAGTTTAAACCAATGACCTTGCGGTTAGCAGTCCAGTGCTCATCCTACAGCACCATACCAGGACTCCAACTTCAGTTACCACAATAAAAGGAACTGAGTATACCACAATGAAAGGAAAATCTTCAACAGTATTTCAATAAGAACACACAGCGAGGTCAAAAGACAAACAACTCTGAAAACACAGATTTCAGTGTGTCTACTTTCTAAGTGAGAAAAGAGTTCAAGTTAGGGTAGAGATATGATTACTTCACTTTCCTGATCAAACTCAGAAAAGATGAGTATTCACAGAACTACTCTTAGTTCCTTCCAAATTATTCCCCCAAATGGTCCTGAAAGGTATTTTTCTAATACCAATCTGATATTGGACCCCTCTTTCAATCTCTCAGTGACTTCCAGTTGGTATTCAAGACAAGCCACCTTAGCTTCCACACATCAATATCCTTTACTTGCTATATCCTCTGACCATCAACTCCAGCCTCACCAAACCCCTTGAGATTCTTAAATCCAAACCAAAAAGCCAAAATTGTTACTGTTGAGTGGATTCTAGCTCATGAGGATCCCAGATGCTACAGAGTAGAACTGTGCTCCATAGAGGGTTATGGCTGTATCTCTATAGAAGTACATCACCAAGTCTGTCTTCTGTGGCACCGCTGGGTAAATTCACCACACTTTATGTCAATGACTGAGAATAAACTACGTGTACTATCCAAGGACCTTTGGAATTCCTGAAACTTGTGCTACACTTTTATTTTCTTCAGATAACAGGCAGTCCACGGCTCTCCTTACTCACTAGCTTATCTCAGTGCATCACCAATCAGCTTCAGCTCAGGCCTGAAACATATCCCCACAGTCCACTGTGCATAGGCTGTTCTTGAGCTTTATAATTCTGTATTGTTTTCATTGGTTTTCCCAGCCTGTCTTTACTACTAAGAGATTCTGAAGACAACCTTTTTATCTGCTGCTCTCTGAAGGTCCAGGGCCTGACAGTGAAGGCACCATACACCATTATGGAGGCACACTACCGTTTCTTTCAGTGACCGTATGGTTGGCAGCTGAGGGCTTTCGCTGCTCTAACGGGTACTATGGGAGAGAGGCAGATAACAGAGGGACACTGAGTGGGATGCACACGTGTACACGTGTACACCACTTGGACTGATCGTTCTGACTGACATAATTCAGAGGATATTTTTTTGACTTAAAGTTTAAAGATGATCTTAGGACAATAGTTCTGAAGGTTGGTTCATCTGGCCTCCATAGCTCCAGAAATTCTGGATGCCAAAAGAACTGGAAATCTGTTTTGCATTTCCCCTGCCCCGGAAGGTTTATTTTAACCATCCTATCTGGAGTACATCTTCTCGAATAAGCTTTAAAAAGTCAGTGATTTCTTGAACAAATATTTTATGTTATCCACAGGATGTTCCCAGCGTTTATGGCAGTACCTGGTACATAGGAGACACTTAGTAGATATCTACAAAAAGAATGTTGAGCTGTGTTAGATTATGCAATACTATGAGTAAAGTGTTACACAGTTAAGAAAAAAAATGGATCTGTTATCTATTGATAAAAAAATCAATAGCAATTCTGATTTCAAAAAGAAAAAAGCAACAACCTAAATACAGAACTATCTACACTGGCTACTGGCTTGTATCCTGGTTCATTCCACTGCCACATTCCACTACTCAGTCACCTATGAGACATTTCAGTCAATGACCTCCCAATGAGGCCTCCAGCAACAAACAGGGCAAATCATTGTACTGTGTCTGGAAGTTTCTCGATGTGGAAATGTACTGACTTTCAAATTAAAGTAAACACTTTGGTGATCCAATAGTCACAATTAATAGTAGTCCTATAAATATACCAAAATGCCACAAAACTGTCTAACCTTTTGGTAAACCTTCTCCCCCACCAAAAAAGTATGTCCTTATACCGTGAATATAGCAGTTTCTTACTCATTATTTCTGAACTCAATTTTCTGTTACTATATCTCATCTAATATTGTCTACAAAAAGGAAATCTAATTAAAAGTAGGGAAACAAGATGATAGCTTCAATTACTAGTCAATGATATGATGGTGACGTTGTTGTTGTTAAATACCATTGAGTCAGTTCCAACTCACAGCGACCCTCTATAGGGTTTCTGAGATACAGCTGTTGGATTAGAACCACTGATCTTGTGATTTGCCATCCAGTACTATCTGTGTTTGGTAAGGTGGAGGGTCAGAGAGAAAGAGGAAGACACCCAACAAGATGGATTGTCTAAGTGGCAGCATCAATGGACTCAAGCGTGGCAACAGTAGTGAGGCTGGCCCAGGATCAGGCAGTGTTTCGTTCTGCTGTGCATAAGGTCGCTATGAGTTGGTACCGACTTGATGGCACCTAACAATAACAATTTATCTGTGTTGGAAGAAATGCAGCCAGAGTGCTCCTTAGAGGCCAAGATGGCCAAACTTCATCTCTCATACTTTGGACATGATGTCAGGAGGGACCAGTCGCTGGAGAAGGATATCATGTTTGGTAAGGTGGAGAGTCAGAGAAAAAGAGGAAGACCCCCAGCGAGTTGGACTGGCAAAGTGGCAGCATCAGTGGGCTGAAGTGTGGCAACAATTGTGAGGCTGGCCCAGGATCGGGTAGTGTTTCATTCTGTTGTGCATAGAGTCGTTATGTGTTGGTACCAACTCGATGGCACTTAACAACAACAACAACAACTTATCCTACAGCACCATACCAGGAGTCCTTGAAGATGACAGAAGAGGGTAACAGAAGAGGGCAATGTAGCAGAGAATAATTAAGCGACTGCTCCAGTTTAGATAATCACAATAAACCTTCCTGGGGACAAGGCCCAATTTTCACGGCATCCATATTTTCTGGAGCAATTGCAAGCTGGATGAACCGAAAAAATGACTATCCTGAGATTATCTTTAAATCTTGAACCAAAAGAATATCCCCTGAAGTATTAAAACCAAACAACAGCTGAGCTTAACTAACAAAAAATGTCTGCCTTGAATAATACAGTCTTTTCAGATCTATCTACATGGGCTCCAACTGACAAAAGCAATTCAGAAGATGAGGTAGGAAGTAACCTTAGAGACCAGTAAGTTAAAGTTAATGGAGAAGGAACAACTCAAGAAAGGGCTGCAAAACTCAAATTTAATCAATGTTACTGAGATGTACATGTAGAAAGGAATTGATCTGTTTGTGCTGTGTATATTCTCCACAACGACAAAAAAAATATTTTTAAATAATAACAATAATAAGCCTCCCTGAGAAGTTCAAAATGGAATGATGGAAAGGAATCCTCCATGAAATGGGAAGGGTACGAAAAGCGTTCTGAGTAGACACCATGAAAGGCCATGAAACGGGGCTACACTGGTCAGGTTTGAGGCATAGAAAAGACCACTGTGCCTGAAGAAGAGGGAGAGCAAGAAGAGGCCAGAGAAGTAGGCATGAACTACAGTACAGCAGCAAAGTGAGAAGCCTGAATGTCATACTACAAGTGATGAGGTGTCAAACCTGAGTTTCAAATCAAACATAAGCTAACTTCTATCTCATGAAGCCCATTCTAGAGCTCTATGAAGAAAAAATTACAGATGAGACAAAATAAAGGCAGAGAAAAGAAAAGGCAAGAAAACCAGTTGAAGACTAGCGCTGCAAAAGAATTCTCTAAAGTGTTCAAGAGCTAAGGTATCAGTTTGAAGACTAAGGTGCGCCTAATCCAATCCATGGTATTTTCAGTCACCTCATATGCATGTGAAAGTTGGACAATGAATAGGGAAGACTGTAGAAGAATTGATA